ATCTCCATCAATCTCCCATCTATCCTCCCTTATCCTATCTCCCTCTTCACCATCCTCCCCTCCTCCCATATTCCCTCCAATCTCCATCAATCTCCCACCTATCCTCCCTTATCCCATCTCCCTCATCATCATCCTCCCCTCTTCCCTTCCTCACCTTCACGATCTCAAGAACCAAGTCACTCTTCAATCTCCATCAATCTCCCACCTATCCTCCCTTATCCCATCTCCCTCTTCATCATCCTTCCCTCCTCCCATATTCCCTCCAATCTCCATCAATCTCCCACCTATCCTCCCTTATCCTATCTCCCTCTTCATCATCATCCTCCCCTCTTCCCTTCCTCACCTTCACGATCTCAAGAACCAAGTCACTCTTCAATCTCCATCAATCTCCCACCTATCCTCCTTTATCCTATCTCTCTCTTCATCATCCTCCCCTCTTCCCTTCCTCACCTTCACGATCTCAAGAACCAAGTCACTCTTCAATCTCCATCAATCTCCCACCTATCCTCCCTTATCCTATCTCCCTCTTCATCATCCTTCCCTCCTCCCATATTCCCTCTATCAATCTCCTATCCTCCCTTATCCCATCTCCCTCTTCATCATCCTCCCCTCTTCCCTTCCTCACCTTCACGATCTCAAGAACCAAGTCACTCTTCAATCTCCATCAATCTCCCACCTATCCTCCCTTATCCTATCTCCCTCTTCATCATCCTTCCCTCCTCCCATATTCCCTCCAATCTCCATCAATCTCCCACCTATCCTCCCTTATCCTATCTCCCTCTTCATCATCCTTCCCTCCTCCCATATTCCCTCCAATCTCCATCAATCTCCCACCTATCCTCCCTTATCCTATCTCCCTCTTCATCATCCTCCCCTCTTCCCTTCCTCACCTTCACGATCTCAAGAACCAAGTCACTCTTCAATCTCCATCAATCTCCCACCTATCCTCCCTTATCCTATCTCCCTCTTCATCATCCTTCCCTCCTCCCATATTCCCTCCAATCTCCATCAATCTCCCACCTATCCTCCCTTATCCTATCTCCCTCTTCATCATCATCCTCCCCTCTTCCCTTCCTCACCTTCACGATCTCAAGAACCAAGTCACTCTTCAATCTCCATCAATCTCCCACCTATCCTCCCTTATCCTATCTCCCTCTTCATCATCCTTCCCTCCTCCCATATTCCCTCCAATCTCCATCAATCTCCCACCTATCCTCCCTTATCCTATCTCCCTCTTCATCATCCTTCCCTCCTCCCATATTCCCTCCAATCTCCATCAATCTCCCACCTATCCTCCCTTATCCTATCTCCCTCTTCATCATCCTTCCCTCCTCCCATATTCCCTCTATCAATCTCCTATCCTCCCTTATCCTATCTCCCTCTTCATCATCCTTCCCTCCTCCCATATTCCCTCTATCAATCTCCTATCCTCCCTTATCCTATCTCCCTCTTCATCATCCTTCCCTCCTCCCATATTCCCTCCATCAATCTCCTATCCTCCCTTATCCCATCTCCCTCTTCATCATCCTTCCCTCCTCCCATATTCCCTCCAATCTCCATCATCTTCTATCCTCCCTTATCCCATTTCCCTCTTCATCATCCTCCCCTCTTCCCTTCCATTACCCCATATTCCCTCTATCAATCTCCTATCCTCCTTTATCCTATCTCCCTCTTCATCATCCTCCCCTCCTCCCATATTCCCTCCATCAATCTCCTATCCTCCCTTCTCCCATCTCCCTCTTTATCATCCTCCCCTCCTCCCATATTCCCTCCAATCTCCATCAATCTTCTATCCTCCCTTATCCCATTTCCCTCTTCATCATCCTCCCCTCTTCCCTTCCATTACCCCATATTCCCTCTATCAATCTCCTATTCTCCCTTATCCCATCTCCCTCTTCATCATCCTTCCCTCCTCCCATATTCCCTCTATCAATCTCCTATCCTCCCTTATCCCATCTCCCTCTTCATCCTCCTCCTCTCTTCCCATATTCCCTCCAATCTCCATCAATCTTCTATCCTCCCTTATCCCATCTCCCTCTTCATCGTCCTCCCCTCTTCCCTTCCATTACCCCATATTCCCTCCTTTATTCCTTCCATCAATCTCCTATCCTCCCTTATCCCATCTCCCTCTTCATCATCATCCTCCCCTCTTCCCTTCCTCACCTTCACGATCTCAAGAACCAAGTCACTCTTCAATCTCCATCAATCTCCCACCTATCCTCCCTTATCCTATCTCCCTCTTCATCGCCCTCCCCTCTTCCCTTCCATTACCCCATATTCCCTCCTTTACTCCCTCCATCAATCTCCTATCCTCCCTTATCCCATCTCCCTCTTCATCATCTTTCCCTCTTCCCTTCCTCACCTTCACGATCTCAAGAACCAAGTCACTCCTGCTTCCTGGCGGCGCTTTGTCCAGATACGCATATTCAATCATCCTATTCACAGCAGGATAGTTGATGCCTGCGAGGGAGGTCAAGAGAGGCACCAGGATCTCGTGGCCGTAGCGAGAGAGGTCATCGTAGGTCATATGGGTGATCTCGCGTTTTATATCTGGGGGGGGGGGGGGAGGAAGAAGAATATACATATACATATACATACGTACATACATATATATATAGATATATGTTCATACACACACACACACACACACACACACACACACACACACACACACACACACACACACACACATATATATTCATATATATTCATATATATTCAAACACACACACACACACACACACACACACACACATATATTCATATATATTCATTTATATTCATACACACACACACACACACACACAACACACACACACACACACACACACACACACACACACACACACACACACATATATATATATATATATATATATATATATATATATATATATATTTATATATGCATATATATCCATTTATATTCATACACACACAAACACATACACACATATATATTCATATATATTTATTTATATTCAAACACACACACGCACACAACACATACACACACACACACACACACACACACACACACACACACACACACACACACACACACACACACACACACACATATATATATATATATATATATATATATATATATATATATATATATATATATATTCATATATATTCATTTATATTCATACACACACACATACATACACACATATATATTCATATATATTCATTTATATTCAAACACACACACATACACACACACACACACACACATATATATATATTCATATATATTCATTTATATTTAAACATACACATCCACACACACACACACACACACACACACACACACACACACACACACACACACACACACACACACACACACATATATAAATATATATATATATATATATATATATATATATATATATATATATATATATATATATATATATTCATATATATTCATTTATATTCAAACACACACATATATATTCATATATATTCACACACACACACACACACACAAAGCAACACCGGCACAGCAAGAACCGATGCCCCTTCGCGCTGGAAACCCACAGAGCATCACGGATCCGTCGGTGTCGGAGAGGCCCGTCAGCACGGGGATCCTCCTGTTGGCGTTCTCCCTGATGGAACTGAGAGGCTCCAAGGGCACCATCATCTTGCCGTCGTCCTGCAGGAAGGTGTCGATCACGGGGCCGAAGAGGTAGTTGGGGTTTCCTTCCTGGGACGACGAGAACAGTGGCGAGGGATTCAGTTCAAAGTTGTTGTTTTTTTCACGAGGATGCGAATAAAGATAATAAAAAGCACAAACGAAAAAGATAATAAAGATAATAAAAAAACACGAGTGAGGAATTTCCCCACTAGGATGATAGATTATGAAGCTCGTTTGGTCTAATTGTTGCACGGGGTTAATGAAAGGGTTGCTAGACTTCATTTTGCAAGGAGGTATGTCATTGGATAATGAATATTTTGGTATAAGAATTCGTTCGCCTGAAGAAAGCTAGGTTGCAAATATCAACATTTCACAGCATTTCGGGATAAGGAGAGAAGAAAATCTAGAAACATGACAATGAAAATGATAATAAAGATGATAAAAAGACAAACGAAAAAGATAATAAAGATAATAATAAAAACACAAACGAAAAAGATAATGAAGACAATAATAAAACACAAACAAAAAAGATAATAAAAATAATAATGAAACACAAACGAAAAAGATATTGAAGATATAAAATCACACACAAGAAAAATATAATAAAGATATAAAATCACACACAAAAAAATATAATAAAGATATAAAATCACACAAAAAAATATAATAAAGATATAAAATCACACACACAAAAAATACAATAAAGATATAAAATCACACACCCAGAAAAAAATAAAAATCTCACAAAAAAATATAATAAAGACACACACACAAAAAACACACAAACGAAAATGATAATAATACTAATCACCTCAATGAGCCTCTCGACCCCCTTCACGATCTGGTTCACGTCCTTGACCAGGAGGCAGTCGAGCAGGAAGGAGGAGCCAGACACGAGGCCGCAGCCCAGGTGTTCCGCCAGCCGCCGCGCCGCCGCCCGGGGACGCCTGCACAACGCCCACGGAGCTAGGTTGGAGCCCGAGAGGAGGATCACCTGCTGGAACGGGCCTGCGGGTTCAGAGGGACTTTTGAAGGAGGACTTTTGAAGGACGACTTATGAAGGAGGACTTTTGAAGGAGGACTTTTGAAGGAGGACTTTTGAAGGAGGAGGTTTAGAAGGTCTTTTCAGAGGGACTTTTGAAGGAGGACTTTTGGAGGAGGAGGTTTAGAAGGATTTTTGAAGGAGGAGGTTTAGACGGTCTTTTCAGAGGGACTTTTGAAGGAGGACTTTTGGAGGAGGAGGTTTAGAAGGATTTTTGAAGGAGGAGGTTTAGACGGTCTTTTCAGAGGGACTTTTGAAGGAGGACTTTTGAAGGAGGAGGTTTAGAAGGATTTTTGAAGGAGGACTTTTGAAGGAGGACTTTTGAAGGAGGACTTTTGAAGGAGGACTTTTGAAGGAGGACTTTTGAAGGAGGACTTTTGAAGGAGGACTTTTGAAGGAGGACATTTGAAGGAGGACTTTTGAAGGAGGACTTTTGAAGGAGGACTTTTGAAGGAGGACTTTTGAAGGAGGACTTTTGAAGGAGGAGGTTTAGAAGGTCTTGTCAGATGGACTTTTAGAAGAACTAAAGATTTTATTTTAGGCCTTTTCATAGGGACCTTAAAAAAAAATCCTGATTTTTTTAAAGGACTTTTAAAGATTTTTTTTAGAAGGATTTTTAGGATTTTTTTTTTGAACTTTTCAAGACATTTTAAAATATCAGGATTTTTTTAAAGGACTTTTCAGAAGAACTTTTCGAGATCGTTGGGGGTGTTTGGGTGGTGGAGGAGGGGGGGGGGGGAGGGAGGAGTTTGATTTTTATTCGTATATTTAGTTGTTTGTTTGTGTTTATGTGCGTGTTCATAATGCTTTCCTCCCTTCTCTCTTCCTTCCCTTCTTAACCATCTGTTTTCTTCTACGTTCCCTACTCCTCCATTCTCAATCTATCTTTCTAATTCCCTTCACTCCTACTTTTACATCTTACCATGCTTACTCCTCTCTCTGTTCCCCTATCCTCCCTTTCCCTCTTCCCCCCCCCATGACTCCGACCACCCTCCCCCTCCTCTCCCTCTCCACGCCTCCTCTGATCTCCTTCACCCTCTATTTCAATCTCTCCCTCCCTTACCCTCCCCTCCCCTCCCATCCCCTTCCCTCCCTTTCCTCACCCTCACCCCCTCCACCTCTCCTCCACCCCCTCACCCTCACCCCCTCCACCTCTCCACCCCCCTCTCACCCTCACCCTCACCCCCTCTCACTCTCCACCCCCCTCTCACCCTCACTCCCCTCTCATCCCCGTCCCCTCCCATTCCCTCCCACACCCTCACCCCCTCTCACTCTCCACCTCTCCCTCTCCACCCCTCCTCTCCCATCCCCTCACCCCCTCTCCCTCACCCCCTCCACCTCCCCCCCCCCTCTCTCTCTCACCCTGGCCCCTCGGATGCACGAGATGGTAGGCGACGGAGGCGGCGCCGGCGGAGTGGCCCAGCAGCGTGATCCTCTTCAGGTCGCCTCCGAATTTGTCGATGTTTTCGGCCACCCACTGGAGCGCCAAGGACTGGTCTCGCAGCCCTAGGTTTCCGGGTAGGATGGCGTCTTCCCATGATAGGAAGCCTGATGCGCGCGAACGAAAAGAAAAAGAGAAGAAAAAGTTAGAGGTTTTAAATGTTAAAAAGGGGGAACGTGTGAGATGATAGAACAAAAAAAAAAGGGGGAAAATGAGGGATGATAATGTAGTAGAGAGAAAAGGGAGAGATGATATAAGATAAGGGAGAAAAATTACGGATTTTTTGTTTCAAAAAGGAGAAAAATATGAGATGATAACACACAAAAAAAGAAAAAGGAAAAAGAAAAAAGTGAGAAATAATAACGCAAAAAAATAGGCATTAATAACAAAAAAGAAAGAAAATGAGATACAGTAACATAAAAAAGAGAGAAATGCGAGTCAATAACATAAAGAAAAGAAAAAATGACCGATAACAACATAAAGAGAGCAGAATATTAAAAAATAACGTAATACAAAAAATGAGAGATGATAGTTTTAACTTCAAAGTAACAGCTGACAGAATTTTACGTTTCGTTACTGCAATTAGCATTTTTTTTGTGAAAGTGTGGGCCCGGGAAGGTTAACATTTTCGTAACGTATTTCATTTCAAAATCAATAAAGTGTTTTTCCTGCTACTTTAATGTCGAGATTTTTCTCTCTTTCTTTATGGTTCCGTGATTTTGGATGAAAATGAGAGAGAGAGAGAGAGAGAGAGAGAGAGAGAGAGAGAGAGAGAGAGAGAGAGAGAGAGAGAGAGAGAGAGAGAGAGAGAGAGAGAGAGAGAGAGAAGAGAGAGACAGAAAGGAAGAGAAGAGAGGAGAGGGAGGAGAGAGAGAGGAGAGAGACAGAAAGAGAGAGAGAGAGAGAGAGAGAGAGAGGAGAGGAGAGAGGAGAGAGAGAGAGCAGAGAGAGAGAAGAGAGAGGAGAGAGGAGGAGAGAGAGAGACAGAAGAGAGAGAGACAGAAGAGAAGAGAGAAAGAGAGAGAAAGAGACAGAGAAAGAGAGAGAGGAGAGAGAAGAGATGGAGAGAGGAGAGGAGAGAGAGAGAGAGAGAGAGAGAGAGAGAGAGAGAGAGAGAGAGAGAGAGAGAGAGAAAGAAAGAGAAAGCGAGAGAAAGAGAGAGAAAGAGATAGATAGATAGATAGATAGATAGATAGATAGATAGAGAGAAACGTATGGGATATCAGCTGGATAAAAAATGAGATTAAAATCATAAGGTAGCGAGGTATTGGCTTCGTACTGGAGAGAAGCCTCTTCATGTTGCGAAAGGTTCGGGAGAGGTACTGTTGCTAGGGAATTAAAAGGGGGAAAAAGTGAGAGAGTTAATGA